TGAATTTGTGTTTAAGAATGAACAAAGTAGTACTCCTTTATACAAATTGTTGATTACAAAAAAAAAATAATAATAATCATTTTTAAATTACCATTTATGTACTATTAATTTTAAGAAAATATGAAGAATATAATTAATAAAAAAAAAATTACTGGATAAAAATTAAGAACTTAAAAGATGAAAGTTCTAGTATAAATATATTTCACGTTCTTAAATTTATTTTCAACAAATACATTCACAAAATTATTTTTAAAAACTTAATAAATATTATACTTACACTGAATTTACAAATTACAATGTGATGGTTAAAGCTGTTTATAAATTACAAATAACTAAAAAACCTTTTTAAGTTATTATTAAAGATTAAAAATATACTATTTATTTTTTAAAAAAAAAACTTAATTAACACTATACTTTTTATGTTACTAACTAAAAAAAAAATTAAAAAAATAATTAAAGCTGGTTGTTGATGGCAAATAAATAATTTAATTTATTTTAAGCAGCAAATCAGAAGCAATCATTGTAACTTAAAAGAAAAAAGGAAAAAATAGTGACAGCTGTGGGATTTGAACCCACGCCCTTTCGGACCAGAGCCTAAATCTGGCGCCTTAGACCACTCGGCCAAACTGTCTTGTTGGTCTAAGCGAACAAAGAAAATCATGTACTAATAACCCCAAAATCTCTCACATCTTCTACATGTTTGGTTAACTAATGATCTCTGTTCATAAGCACTAATTTCTGATCATATAATTTCAATATTTTTATACACCAACGATCCATTAGGTTTTATAATTATATATTTTTCTACAAATGACTTTTTATATTATAATCATGAAACTTTTTCAATATAATTTTATCACTAAATCCAAGTTATATAGAGAAGAAAAATCAAGTGTTCATATTAATATAGTTTTCTTGCTAATTATTATTGTCTATATTTTTCGAGCTAAATTTTTTTGCTCTTTTCTTATGAAGACAAAACTTCAAAACAATTTGAGAAAATATTCATATGATATTCAAATTTTAATTAAAAATAAAATTGCAACAACAAAATTCGATGTTTTATCTAAACCAGATATGCAAAAAAAATTAAAACTTACGTGCTGTAAAACGTAAGTAGAATCGAAACTAGGAGAAACAATGAAGAGTAACAAAATTTTTTAGTTATCTTTTACGGGGTTCTTTCACTTAACCTTCTCTATTTTCACGTTATTTTGATAAACTAGTTTTGCTTGCATACATATATACAAGAAATTTATGATCTAATTGGACTTGGCAATGCATGGAACTATTCTTTCCACTTATACAATGAGCTTAAATTTATTTGTATTGAACCCCATAAATTTTCAGGTCATATCTCAGAGAATTGATATTTTATTTAGGTTTAATTCATTACGTTTGCAGAGAATTTTAATAAATTCACAATTCACGATTATTGAATTACACGTGAATAAACTCTTAAGTATTTATTGAGTAAAAATTTAGAATGATAGAAAATTAGTTGTGAAAAGTCTCACTCTGTACCAGATTCACTTTCCTAATTCTACAAATACCTTTCTTTTGAAGGAATAGATTTATTAGGGGAACCCAATATTTTATACATGATGCAAGAGACTTTCAAAAGTTAGAATTTTCACTCAACAATTTTACTAGATCAATACTAGTAAATTTTACTATGTTTAACTTTAATGTAAATAACCTTGGAAGAAGGCCGGTGGAAATTAACATCTTTTTTTTTTTTTCTTTCTAGAAAAGTATTAATCATTAGTCAAATAGAAAAATAGTTGTCTTGGAATAGTATAAAGGTAACAATAATTAGAAATCTCTTCCAAATACACAAACTCCTAACTACTGAGATAGATTAAGTATTTTTCTAACTAATTTATTTGTAATTTGATCATAAAAATCTATAAATTAAAAAAAATATATAAATATAAATAAATATATAAACTTTTTGACATCATCAATAAACAAATTAATTTATAAATTGATTCTAAAATAAGTAATAATTGAATTAAAATATTATTTTAAACAACAAAATAAATATAAAATACAAAGTTTTTGCCATAAGTACCATATGAGTCTTAAGTGCTCTTATCATCCTTACAAATGATACTTTTTTCCCAAGAAATTTTTGCAAACAATATGTAGTTTAAACCATTCTGGAATTGAAAGGTAACATCAACATTTGATTTATAAAAAAATATTTACATAGAGTAATCCATCAAACTCTAAAAAAATATTATTATACTCTTTTCAAAAACTAATTAATTTTTTTCCGACTATAAATTCTAAAAAATTATAAAAAAAAAAAATCGCTCATAATACAAATTACTAAATAAGTAGTTTTGAAATATCACGTCATCAAACTTTAATTTTAGAGGGTTGATCATCACTACATACGTAAGTAATATAATTAGAATAGAAGATATCGTATATATTTTACATTATAATTACTTAAATATTGTATCATAATGTGAAATACAAATACTAAATATATGAGATACTAATTTCTTGTTCAAAAGAAACGTACCAAGGTTCAAAAATCATTTAAGATTACTTTAAAGTTTGTTTTCTAACATCAATTGCAAAGAAATTGACTTGCAATTCAAAGTAATGACTAATAAAAGCAAGTTGATAAAGACATATTGGATCGAGAGATAATATTTTTCCTGTTATTATCATATTTTATAATCAAATAATAAATACTAAATTAGTTATAATAAGAAAAAAAAAAAATCACGTGAATTAATAAGAAAAGAGAGAGTTGTAACAAATAAAAAGGAATTTAGAAAATTGCAAAGTTAAAAAACCAATAAGGAAATTTACAAGATGAGTTGGAAGTTGAATTTTGCGAGACATGTACGGAAAGGGTGGACTTACTGTAATGTAATTGAACATGACCTGACCGTAATGTCGCCCTGAGCTTTTCAAATCTTCTAATGTTGGCCCAGCAAAGTCAGTCCCGATTGGCCCAAACGACGCGGTTCAAAGCAAGGCATTTTGACATCCAAGCCATGAAACGACATCGTTTCTTTCATTTATCGTAATGTCATTTTTCGTAATATGTGAATAGTGAAAATTATATATAATGTAATTATAAAATAATAGTGATAAGTATAGTTAGGGATTGAAGGAAATTTAAATGAAAAATAATAAATAAATATCACAAACATATTAATTTACATACATTATGAAAGAGTATTTTATAATATAATCTTTAATGTCTGATTTTATTTACAATAAAATCGATAAATTTTTATTTTTAAAATAAATTATTTTCATAAAAATTTTATTTTATTTTATTATAAGATTGTAATATATGCATAATACATAATATAAGATAAAAAAATTCGATATGATGTATTTGTGTTTAAAAATTATATTACAAGTTAAAAGATCAAATTTAAAATATATCTTACTGCAAGTTCTTAGAAAATACAAACGCTATATGCAGATACACACTGAAACCAACATTTTTTTATTTAACTTTTTGATGAATGAAACACACAAACAAATTGAATAATATATATACTAAAATTTTTTGCCAAAAAATTTTACAATTTTTATTTTTGGTGCGCTGCAAATTTTTTCAACTCACCTCTCCACCTTTTTTCAAACTCCCACTTATATATATATAGGTGGCATGGGTGAAGGAATTTCTTTTGGACTCTTCCTATAGATGTCTAAATCTATTTGGATTCATATACCTCCTTCTTTTTTACTTACATATATATATATATATCATATATATATTTCTTCCTTTTTTAATTATTATTATTTAATAAAATAATTTTATAAATTAATTTAATTTCAAATTAAATTTTATAATAATTTTAATTATTATAATAATCACATATATTATATTATTAAATTAATAATATAATAACTTTAAAATATAAATATTAATTTTTTATTTTAAAAATAAAAAAATTTAATTTATCGATAATATTAAT